TCAATAAACAACAGCCAAAAGCACAAAATAGGCAACAGTACAAGTAAGAAAACATGAGAGCAAAAGGACAGGATCTGTCTTAAGTTGCGCTAATGAATTTTACTTTAATTATCTAATGAGTGAAAACTAATATCGAAACAAAATACTCTATTGCTTCATTTTTATGCATAAATATGCCTGCGGATCGTGGCATACTTGCAGGTGTACGAACAGGCCTTCGTTCAGCGCTCCCTAGTGATGCGTTTTCGTATCCATTCACTGAAGGTTTTCAAAACTATGGAGCCGTGACATGCTTAGATAGTCCCCTAGGCGACTAGGAGCAAGGAGTCGGTGCTTACGTTGTTTCAATTCGGTTTCAAAAACTGAAAAAGAAGGTACTCCATTAAACAATAAATATGTAAAGATTCATATTTATTTATTTTGTCTACCAAATTATAAAAAAGCATGAAATTCTGAGATGCAAGACTATATAAATGAACTGTAGGATTTTACGATCATATCAAAACGCAGAAACATCGTCACCTGTCCTCTTACCTCGATTTCTTTGGGGGTGAAGAACGGCGCATCTAGAGCCACCTCAAACAGATCACTCGTGTTTATCACCTTGACCACGCTGTCGTTTTGAAGCGGCCAGTCCCACATGTCGGCACTCCATTCATGAGTCAACGGAACGTAGATTTGTTCAGCCATCTCTCAGTAGTCGCAACCGCGGAACTAAGCTAGGCACCCTACGTGCTGCCGTCAGAAATTCGTTCGGCATCAACACATTCGAGTTTCCGGCTGTGTCAACGAATGGCGATCGGCCACTCGAGTCTTGACTCGAGCGAATCACAGATGAGGTGAGCAGAAATGTGTGTCATGAGATGGATGGACAGATGTTTCTGGTATCGAAGTTACGAATAAAGAGGAAAACATGCAGCTCGGCTTAACGGACCTGTGACACCGGATGGAAGGTTCCTTTGGCAGGAACAGTCGTGCAACCCAGTGCTTCTCAGTTTCTGCTCCTCCACTTCTAAAAATCAAGTTTTAGCGGTCTCTCTTGTAAACAATAAACACATTCTGATTCACCTTATTCCTCCACAGTCCGGTCTCGTTTACTTTGTGAAAGGCCAGCGGCGATCCAGATATTGAGATCTTTGATTAGTGCGAAGTTGAAAGGAAACTTTTCCGTGTTACGAGTGTCATGAAAACAAGCCAGTAATGCCAAAATGATTGTCAAACAAATGTACATATATACTGATGCCGTTTTCAGTGATCTGTAGAAGGTAAGCAATGGGTGAAATGATTTGCTGGCACACTGTTAGTTAATAATATTCCTTCTGTGGGAGATGGAAACATGGCAGACGTCGATCAGCGGATGAGCACGACACGAGGATGAACAAAGTAGAGGCAGACATCCCTTCGACGAGAAACTGCATCTTCTACCATGCACCAGTAGGCCCAGATGGCAAAAGTGTAAAAACCGAATCCAGCGACATTATAATTTTCTGAGATATTCTGCTTGTGCAAATGGCTCAAATTGACGATTTCAACAAACACAGAAATGTTGTACCCATGCAACAGTATAATTCGACAGTCACAGAAAAATTGACAAGCAAACATTCCGGTGTTCAGATATTCTGGAGTTAATTACGCCGAATTTCTCAAATCTTGGAAACTTGAACATCGAATGGGCAAAGGATATTTTCTTCACGATGTCTTCCATCGATTTCACGATGTTCGGATTTTCTCTTGGCCTTACAATGGTATCGTTGTTCAATATTAAAGCAAGAAACCGTATGATCAAAAGTGTTATTAGGAATCGACACGGAAGGTAACACCAATCATTCATTCGTGGTTTATGTCGTAATGCCCTTCTTCTGTCCGTTCATCCAAAACGTTTCCTGTTTACTTTGCTTTCTAGTTATGTAATGGGGAGCCATCTGGCTACAACATGTAAACTGAATATCCTTCATTCTCACAAAATTCTTAATTTTTGCAGTGTCAAAGTTAATGTTTTTCAAATGCAAAAAATATAGCTCAGCTGTAAATTAGAACTTCGACTTCAGATTGTCATTAAAAAATTAAATTTGCCTTACCAAGAATTAAGTCAAGAAAATATTACGGTTTAATCAAGAAAGAGAATAAACATGGTGTGAGCATGACAGAGAAGTGTTTTAAAGAGTCAGAAGTTCAATTTTAGACGATTTAACCTCTTGCATGCAGACACTACAAATGAGGCCATGTTCTTGATATACCTACTGTAGCACAAACGGAGCCACAGCACCTGAAACATCGCTCGAGATGAGTGAGAATAAGTCTACTGAATATAGCGCATGATATGCATTTAGCATTGTAGGCATTCAAGGGAATTGCCTCTGTTTGCTTAAAAGGTTACACTAGAAAACACTAAGCACAAGGCGGATCAGTGCATATGAAATTCGGTTTTCGGAGAATAAAGGTGAATAAAAATTCGGTTAATAGTGCAATTTATTGCCTTGAAATAGAGTATGAATATACCGTCGCGGGCCAGCCTCTATTCGCGGTGACCCTGATGATAGTCACTGTCGGTTCTCTCTCAAAAATGAGTCTCCAAAACTGTCTAGTGCTTCTGATACCTTCAGCTACAAATGCTGCACATACAGATTAAGACTGTCTGAAAAGGTATTAATTTCGATGTCAATCCAATTTTCTTCTAAACTTTCCTAAAGATAATGTCAGCCAGTGTGTGCAAAGTTGTCAAGTCTTGTCTACGAAACAGCAAAACAGTGTGGCCGTAAAATTCATAAACTTTCGAACGGCAACCTCGAAAAATGTCAAAGTCAAAAGTGTTTCTATACTACAAACTTACATATCGTCTCAAGGCTGATTGCTCTTCAATAAACTAGAGTAGATTTTTTGTTCAAAAAATATCCAGTCAGTAAAATGCTCAGCCATGCCTCCTCTCAAAATGTCAGGTACCATGGCAAACTGTTCAGCGTTATACATCGCTCTCGTCTTTTTTCAGCTAAATTTGTGAAAGGAACGCTAAGTGATGCACTAACCTAAAAGCTTAAAAACCATTGGTGTAAATATTGACACGGCAGCTTAGTTCCACAATCGTATGTCAGGACACGTACTCTACTTGAGGTATGAAATTTGCAGGCTGCTTAGTTTGAAGAAAACTTTCACCGCTCTATGAGGCATATATGACAAGCTGTTCATTTGCGAGAAAATGACATGACATGACGCAAAATAATTTAGTCATGCCAATGTTTACATGATTTCCGGCCATGCCCTGTTCAAGCATTGCAATACGTGTGAACCACCTGAAAATTGACTCTACGATTGAGGTAAAAAGATCGTGAGAGCTTAAAAGAGACAGAGCCAGACAATCGGTCACATAAAAGGATAAAAAATTAAAATGTTGAATGCTCCCGTAATAAAGAAAGACAAGAACCACAAAACGTAGCTTGGTCGTCTATAATGTCCCAATGAGGCAAGGCAGTTGGGATCTCACAGTCTTTCATTTTCATGGATCGTCACAGGTAAAATTTATTTATTCCGAAATTGCATTTTGTGAAGGCATGCTCAAACGCATTGTTCTGTCTTCTAAAAATTTGACTGATATGAAAAAAAGCGGTCTCGACGATACAGCATTACTGTCCATTTGTTGGAAGGCGCTCAACAACCGAACAGAAAGGGGTCTATGGCACACCATGAGTTCGTTTTTTCAAAATACGTTCGGTCAACATTCGGTCAATGGCTGTCATGCGTTCATACGCCATGCATTTGTGTTTGCTAAGATCGTCATTTTGTGCCATTTGCATAAGCGGAACGTAACTGGTTCATGCCGTCCGCTGTACTTGCAGCTTTACAGTACTTTTGCTATATGGCACTGGTTACTGTATTGCTGAAAGAACTGTTTGTTTGCGAAAACCCGAAATAATTATACCTCTTTATTCCTTCTTGCCTGTTATCGTCCTGGTCGAAATCTACCGTGTTTCAGTTCCCACACGAAAAACTCGCGGGCTGGTGCAACTGGTGTACGTTCAACCAGTTCTAATGGCGCCATTTCGCCATCATCAAATATACTGAGGTAACATGCTCCCAAAACAGAATAGAGTCATATCATCCCTTACGTCGTCCTCCCATTTATCGTTCATTGTGCGTCGAACCCAGAGATGTTCTAAGCAGTCCAACTGTCGCTGGTGCACCATTGAACGGTACTGACGTGACAGAGGCGAGGTGCAGGAGATTTTTGTGGGACGAGTAACTCCTTTCTCAGCCCAAGTGTTGGGTAGGTTTCCAAAACCATCCGAGGCTAGGGAGTTTCTCCCACTTAACTCTGGCTGAATGCTGCCACTAGTGGAAATGATAGAGCCGGATGATGCGTAGTGGTCAAGCTCCTGAAGCGTTCCAGCTGCCCGCTCTACTTCTGAATCAGCTGTAAGAAAGTCTGTCGGATGATCAATACTGGTTGTAAACCATTCACGTGGGTGATTGCTATTTTTAACAATTCATTCAAAAGCGAGCGTGATGTGCATACATCAGGCCATTACCCATATGTTATCTTTTTGTGAAGAACATGGCACCAGTAGATTCCAAATGAACAACCATTTATTTATGCTGGTAGCTACGTCAAATTCGCTTTGCATAGCTGCGCCATTTTTTGCCTCTATCTGCTTATGAGTTCTCGTAAGAGCGTGGAAAAGAAATCGTGGTACTGAGATGGATAGTATAAATACATGTTCGTTAATCCTTTATTTGTTCGCATCGATGACGATATAAATGCCTTAGCTTTAACAAGTGCAATATGCATCGATTTTTGGTCTTGAACATAGAAATGGCAGGCAAGATGTGCTATTTTCTTTCCACCATCATCCATCTACTGCGTCAGGCTTTTCAAGAGTCGCGATCCACTGTTCAAGGATGAGATTAGGCGTCACGATGAGAAAGAGCCTTTGTTATTCATTTTTGCAAGGGATTTCATATAGCCCCTAAAATTCTGTCTAATTTATTGTTTGGATGCCCTTGTATTTGGCAGACAGAGCGATACAAGGAGCTCTGTCGACTCCGGTTACTAATCCTTCGTTAGAGGATCGACACCGGTTATTGCCACGTCTAAGTGATGGAAGTGTTGAGATTGAATTTTTGCTATCAGTAGCATATATACATACTTAAAAGAATATTTAGAAGGACATATAAACTTGCATCAAACAACAGCAAAGGCAAAATGTTGAGTTTGCAATAAATTTACTGAAAATTAAACTGATGTTAAAAAATGTCTTATACGGTCATTTTCAGGACACAACAACTGAGGAAGACTGCAACTGTTTTAGTGATTTAAAATTAATTATAGAAATCCAGGTAAGAAAAAGGAAGGTGATAACCAACTTTTTAGAAGGAGCGTTTAATCCTCCTTCTTCGATGTTTAGAAATGGATTCTGGCCAGCATTTGGGCCAATAACCGAACTTCTAAATAACGGTGGCGACCTCTTCGCATAAATCTAGTCTTCGAGGAATGGAGGGTTATTTTGTATACACCGGAATACGAACAATTTACAATGTTTATGAGATAGCATATGAAGATTATCGTTCGCATGGCTCGTGAAGTAACTCTCTTGGAAGAAATGATAAGTGATGCACCTGGCTGGTATGCAGGTGCCAAAATACCCTGTTATCATGGTTGCTTAGATACCCCTTAGGAAATTATTTGTAAGAGGGCGACGCAACACGTCATGAAATCTGGTTTTCAAGAAGCCAGGCGTTATAAGGTCGTAAGACGATACAAATCAAATAAAACTTTGCATCGCCTTAATAATTAATAATAATTTATTGGCCAAAATAACGTAAACTAATGATCAATAAACATTTAAAGCAATAACAAAAAACCAAAA